GTATCACAGAAACCATCTCGGCCTAGGTTTTAACTGTAATAATTGTATCACAGAAACCATCTCGGCCTAGGTTTTAACTGTAATTAGTGTATCATCATAACCATCTCGGCCTAGGTTTTAACTGTAATAATTGTATCACAGAAACCATCTCGGCCTAGGTTTTAACTGTAATTAGTGTATCACAATAACCATCTCGGCCTAGGTTTTAACTGTAATTAGTGTATCACAATAACCATCTCGGCCTAGGTTTTAACTGTAATTACTGTATCACAATAACCATCTCGGCCTAGGTTTTAACTGTAATAATTGTATCACATTAACCATCTCGGCCTAGGTTTTAACTGTAATTAGTGTATCACAATAACCATCTCGGCCTAGGTTTTAACTGTAATTAGTGTATCACAATAACCATCTCGGCCTAGGTTTTAACTGTAATTAGTGTATCACAATAACCATCTCGGCCTAGGTTTTAACTGTAATAATTGTATCACAGAAACCATCTCGGCCTAGGTTTTAACTGTAATTAGTGTATCACAATAACCATCTCGGCCTAGGTTTTAACTGTAATTAGTGTATCACAGAAACCATCTCGGCCTAGGTTTTAACTGTAATAATTGTATCACAGAAACCATCTCGGCCTAGGTTTTAACTGTAATTAGTGTATCACAATAACCATCTCGGCCTAGGTTTTAACTGTAATTACTGTATCACAATAACCATCTCGGCCTAGGTTTTAACTGTAATTAGTGTATCACAGAAACCATCTCGGCCTAGGTTTTAACTGTAATTAGTGTATCACAATAACCATCTCGGCCTAGGTTTTAACTGTAATTACTGTATCACAATAACCATCTCGGCCTAGGTTTTAACTGTAATTAGTGTATCACAATAACCATCTCGGCCTAGGTTTTAACTGTAATAATTGTATCACAGAAACCATCTCGGCCTAGGTTTTAACTGTAATTAGTGTATCACAATAACCATCTCGGCCTATGTTTTAACTGTAATAATTGTATCACAGAAACCATCTCGGCCTAGGTTTTAACTGTAATTAGTGTATCACAATAACCATATCGGTCTAGGTTTTAACTGTAATTAGTGTATCACAATAACCATCTCGGCCTAGGTTTTAACTGTAATTAGTGTATCACAATAACCATCTCGGCCTATGTGTTAACTGTAATTAGTGTATCACAATAACCATCTCGGCCTAGGTTTTAACTGTAATTAGTGTATCACAATAACCATCACGGCCTAGGTTTTAACTGTAATTAGTGTATCACAATAACCATCTCGGCCTATGCTTTAACTGTAATAAGTGAATCAAAATAACCATCTCGGCCTAGGTTTTAACTGTAATTAGTGTATCACAGAAACCATCTCAGCCTAGGTTTTAACTGTAATTAGTGTATCACAGAAACCATCTCGGCCTAGGTTTTAACTGTAATAAGTGAATCAAAATAACCATCTCGGCCTAGGTTTTAACTGTAATTAGTGTATCACAATAACCATATCGGCCTAGGTTTTAACTGTAATTAGTGCATCGAAATAACCATCTCGGCCCAGGTTTTAACTGCAGTCAAGTAGGATTATTACATTTAAGAACTGTTTTCCTCTCATTTATCATTTACTTTAACTAAATTGAGATGAGTTTTTCTCACCAACTTTAGTATAAAGTATATCAGGGTTTTTTTCTTTTTTTTTTCTTTTTTTTTCTTTTTCATTTCCGAACGCTATGAAAGTGTTTTTTACATGAGACATCAGGTCGGAAACCAAAACTGGTCAATAAAAATACATTCCACAGCTACTATACCTCTTGTTTGAGTTGTGATGTTAATTGAGCAGCTTTCAGGTTTCATTGTTGTCCATGACAAGTGATATGTCTAACAACACATTCTCTTTCTCTATTAACCAATAATGTCCTTTACGTATGTTTTTATTGTGACGGTGTGTAGTTAGAGAGGTAAAACAAGAAAACAAAACAGAAACATATTCGGTTTGAGCGACGATATCCTTGTGTGTATTGTTGTAGACACTAGATTATATATAAAATGTATATGTCTATTCCCATTTAACAATAAACCGACATTGTTAAACAAAATGGCTGTGATTCAGATAGGTGTTGTACAATAATAAAGATCGACACCATATCACAGATCAAATACATGAAAAAAAATCCGAACTGGCTTAAACTAACCACTAACCCCATAAAACATCGTATTGCTTATATAGGATCTGAAATGTGTTTTCATTCTCCTGTCATTTTATGAAACGTTTATTAGAAAGTTTTTTTTTTATTTTTTTTGGAGGCCTTGAAAAAGAAAAAATTGAAATGTTGAGACAAGTTTCATAAAATTTCATGAAATCAAAACAAATCAAGATATTTTCATCACATAACTCAGAAAAGGTACAGTTTGGCAAATAGTAAAGCAGAATTATCGAGGATAAAACAAAATGGAGGCAGCCATTTATTTTGTTAAGTCATTTTTAAATTCATGACGTAATATCATTGTCCAGTTATGACATCACAATCGATTTCTGTTTGGCGCAACAAATGCAAAACGCTACGCTCCAGGATATATTACACTGGTGATATGAGGGAAAGTAATACATGGGCGAATTTACTAAATAACAAGCCGATTGTGTAATAGATATTTTTCTTATTAAAGACAAATCAAAGTAACGCATGTATCGGTAGGTTAATATCCAATGTTCACTGTACGAAGTCAACTCGCCCAAAGCTATAAAAGTACATTAAAACCAACTCGCCCTGAAGTGTGAGCGCAGCCGCTGCAACCGTGCGATACGCGGGAGGCTGCGTTTATCATCCGTGTGATCAGAGAGTACACGACATTACTAGTTAATACAAGGATCACTGCGATACCGCCTACAGGAAAACGAGACGTCGCCTGCCTTACTGTTTCAGATATATCTTCATAGTGTGAAGCTATTCCGCTAATTGTATTCGATTTTATTGACCTAATCTTATACTGTTGGAAAATTGAATATGAAATTAAATTTTAATTGGTCGAACTTCCGATGTGCGTCAACAATGTTGATATGTATACAGAATGGTGACGATATCAAAAATGAACAACTCCAGAACTGAACTGTAATAGCTTGACAAGTGATGGATCAAAATTGATTTTAGAGAAGGAAGTGATACACTGAACTATAAGTATAGCAACAGTTAATTGGTTTATCTAAAAAAAAACTCCTATGTGTATATGGACAATCGATTCAATCACAGAAACACTACATCTCCTTGCCACGAACAGTATTGTTTTGCAAATATTGGCGGATATCGGACACTATAAGTGGGAGTTCCTAACATTAATTATTTCCATATCGTGTGTGTTTTCAAGATGACATATTTTACTTCCATTTCATTCGATGCCGTTTCCAGTGATAACGCGCTGTAGGCACGTACCTCGTGGAACTGAACTGCGGGATGCATTCCTAGATATGTATTTATATGTTGTATGTATTGAGGGTGCTGAAGGAGTCGACAACAGGTTCCAGTCTCGAGTTAATATTTTTATGTAACTGGGATAAACGTAACTTCAAAGAAGTGAGTAACATCTATCATCTAGATAGTTCGGCAGCTTGTACGATGGCGAATAGCTACTGATACGAACAGGGAAAGTCAATTTAGGATATAAGATTACTCCGGACACAGGTCAAGAGATAGTTCGGCCAAAATGACCAGCGTAAGGGTAATATCCAACAGGGAATGGTGATAGCTGTAATAGGTTTCTCGTATTGTATCGAATTCTCTGAGATGACTGCTGATAATTTGGAGATTGGCGATTCAATTCGGACCTATCAATTTGAGCATTTGGCTGCACTGACCGGCAACTGGACAATGTCCACTTGAGAATTGTGATTGCTCTGATAGCGATATCGAATTGTCTGTATGTAAAGGCAAGCTAATCATTTTAGATAGTACGAATCGGTACAGCTCTAAACTGGACAGTAAACATACTGCGAAAACCGGAGGAACTCAATTAATCTGGAAATAGGTCAGTTTTCCATACTTTAAGGGATATTGCATTTTTCATTAATTATTAATAGTTTCGTTTTAGTACACAAGACTCAGCACAATTGTTAGGCGCGTGCTTCCAACAGGAACGAAATGAAAACAAACAGCTGTGATTTTATTGTTTGACATCTCCTGTGAAGTTTTTTTATAACTTTGAGGAGCATTGAGTAAACAGCACTCAATGAATGAAAGCAGTATTAATTGAAACTGACATTGCTAAGCACGTTGTGTGTTGGTGAAACTGAAGATAATTTTAGTTTTCATCTCAGAAATCTGTGAACCAATTGTTACATCGCTGTTTTGTACGAGTTAATGACAGTGTATCGCTGAAGTTGACAACTGTAGATGTGGACTTGCCGAACTGTTTGCTTAAAATAACAATTGGTTAATGTAATATTTGGATCCGGAAGGCGGTGTTAGTTCCGATTACTCTCGCTTACTAAACACGCTCGATTTAACAGATTTCACGCATCACTGCGACAATCAGAAACATTTTTACGACGCCTAATAAGAATAACTGGATTCATTGCTGGACATTGGTCAAGAGCGGAATGGTCATTGTGATTTGTCGACTGTGATTGGAGGATAACGATTTGGATTTTCTATATATAGAGACGGGGAATTATTCTCTGGATATTTCGTCGTTAGATTGTCCTCTCAGCTGTATTATTTGTAAGTGTAAAGTTCAATTTGAAGTAAATTGTTCAATATTGTTGTGATCTGAACTCTTCCTGGAATTTTTTAAGTTTTTTAATAGGTAGTTTTGTTTCATACTCCCGAGTTATGGTAAAAATACCACAAAACGATATTTAATCATGGAATGAAAAAGAATTACGACATATATGAAAGCCGAATTTTTATTTATTTGTTGCCATGGCAATGAGTATAGCAATGAAAATAGCTTTATGAATATTGGAAACTAAGCTTACTACAAAAGATTTTCCATTTTGAAATTGTGAGAATAGAAATGCTGAACGATGATATCTTTCGTGTCCTACATATGGATCTTAATAACGGCGCTGGTAGCCGCAACTTGTGCTTTCAGTCTGCTTCAGCCCTTTTGGATTATACATCCGGACGGCATTCATTCCTTCGGAGTTTACGTGTACTGTAAAGGAGGCGACTTCGGTGATGTGAACGGTCAGTTAACAAAGCAGATGTGTTCTTTTTACGGTGGTCATCTCAGTGTCGTCAACATTCCTTCAGGAGCTTGGCAAGCTACGTTTTTACTATTTTCAACTGGATGTGCCATTTTGCTAGCCAGTCTTGTTATGGGAATGGCGACAATGTTCTTGACGATTCGATGGCTTCAGAAGTTGTCTAATACAATGACGTATTTACAGACATCCGCAGGTAATATATGTCTTCAGCTTATGTTGTTTCCTATTTTCTAAATTTTATCTTTCTAATACATTTTTTCCATAATCTCAATAAATATCAAAGTTATTTTCATTTAATTGATCCGCTTGAATAATAACGTTTATCTTAAACGTGATTACCTTAAACACCGGGATTGTTTCTTCATGCATCAGTGGCTGTCCAAAACAGTGTTTCAAGTTTTAGCCATGTCATTTCTTCGTCATTAGAATTAAGAATTATATTAATTATTTACTTTATAATCTTACGGCGAAAATTTGACCTTGGAGGATAACAATAATGATATTTATATAAAATTAAATTGACTCCGACGGCCTAGCATGACGTTGTACATCCTTTTTCGTCAAACGTTTACCCTCTATAACAAGATCCAATGGAAATCGATATTTAGGTCTCCGGACAAAGTTATGGTCCAAACCTCTATTTTAGAGAATCTCTATAACACCATTCTACCTCTATACTACCGTTCTATTTAAGGATCGCAGCTAGCAGTAGTGCCTTTTATGTACAAGTTATATTAAATCTCGGAAATAATAGCAATGCTCTCGGTAAACTTTAGGAACGTTATTCTAGATGTCGGACAGAGCAAATGTTAAATGTATCCCAGTGCTTGTACTGCCGATAGCTAATCAATCAAAAGTGAGGGTAGAATAGGATAAGTCCAAGCAAGGTTTAGCGTGTAGATGAAGATAGATGATACACCGTTAGCAATGAAAGAGATATATATATTCAACCGATCCCTCCACATGAAAGTTTATCTATTTAGTCCAGTAAACAAAATGGCCTAAAACCTGTTCTGGTGTCTATATAAATGTATACATTATGTTTTGTTTAATTGAAATCCAAATTCCCATTCGTGAGGAAATATCGATTGTAGGAAATGTCTACATTACAGATTGATTGATTGTAAGTTGACTCGTTCATGTACATACGTCACGTCAAGATGTTCTCAAAACGTCCACGCTGACCTACTTAACAGTACGGCTAAACTTCTATTACTTCCAGTGGCACCTATTGGTGACAAAACAGTTCTAATAGTAATTATTTAATTCAGTTCTATCTATTGGAGTGTGACATGTACGTACAACATTGTATTAACATATTATACAGTACCAATATATTAACAGGCCACTTAAACACAAATTCGTCATTTCATTATGTTTCTAAATTTTATCTCGTGTGTAACAATAATATCAAGAAAAAATATCACAGTTTCCAGTGAACATAAACATGTTATCTAAATACTATGCTAAGAAAGTCCGTCTCAAACCATTAAAGTATTCCACACGTAGCAATCGAAAAGAAAATTGAAAAAAGATAAATATCTCCAATGTTTTATAGCACAAATTCAAAATATGTCATAGTTTTTTCTGATTTTCGTTTCTATATGGAGTCTATACATCTCTATTTAGAAAGTAATTAACGATAGATCACTGCGTGTCAAATAGCGCCTAGAAACCAAAACTACCGTGGTGTAGTGTTGGAAGATTTACAGTTAAATGATGTCGGGATCTTATCGTCAAGTTTATGTTATATCTGAACAGTTTTCATTATAAACGCAATTTTGTTTAAATCTACACACGGACCCTGTATTAGGGAAGGATGCTTGATTCCTCTGCTACAGCGGAATATTTCGCATGAGATTCTCTTTACGCCAATAAAAACGTATTAATTGGTTTCCTCTGATAACGTTAAACGCTACATGTGCTATGGAAACAAAATCACAGCCAATGACAACAAGTCTACCCCACCACCTATATGTAATGATGTTGTGATATCCCTTTATACACTTACAGAACATCTGGAGCAGTGGTTTGTATCAAATATTTCTGATATCCACTAATATGATACCGATATATGTTTTAGTTCCTTCGTTGCTCTTCGCTACCAATTATGATAAGATTCAAGTTCCAAACTAGAATTCCGTACCAGTAAGTTGCATGCACAGTGATAAGGTACGCACGTGCTGTTTTACACTAAATCATGTAGCAGATTTTGCCGTAATGTTTTCATTCTTCGGAACGTACGAGTCGTATAAACCTACAGCTAGCCACACAGACCGACAAGAGATTATATTCTTAGCAAGCACATTCAAGCTGAAATGACATTATACTTGAAGTAATTTACGATTTCTACCTTTAAACAAAAACACAAGTGTGCCGTTTTCTTTAGAGTTAAAGTGTTTGTTTTTACTATTGATTTCAACTTTAACATATGCACATAAAGGTTAGAAGGCCATTCCTTGAAGTTTAGCAGTCTTGCGATCAAACGACACGGAGTTATCGGAAATCACATCCATCTGGCATTAACGGCGTCCTGTTTTATTTTACAAACATGACATTATCAGCATATAAAGACGTAAGAAACCCCACTAATGAGAGATTTTGTGCATATTTTGTAAATGTCACGTCAGTTCATATACAAAATTAATGTACTCTATACTTCATGTTATATCTCGTGTAAGCACATATACACGTGTTCATCGCTTCCAAATGACGTTTTGTAAAAATGAAAAGCCGAAAGAGGTAATATTCGGAATTTTGTGGCACTGTTGTTTTGTCCAATCAAGTTCCAGTCAGGTGTATCAATTGAGAAATCGATTTTTAAATATAGAAAAATAAATAAAATCAGATTTAAGCTTACAACTTTGTACCACTGTATTACATACCCAATTAGATATGATATTGTACACGACCGGAACACGTGTTTCAACTGACCGGCCTCTTTATCATCGATCCAATACGACGAAGGATAAAATGACATCCCTGATATTATCACCGGTTTGTTTATAGAAGAGATGCCTTTATTCCGTTCCTTAAATCATTCTGTCTGTCATTATTGTTCGTTTTCGTATTTACAGAAATCCATTGAACAGTAAAGAGAGTTTATGACTAAAGTCCCGAATAATGTATATAAAACAGTAAATATTGAATTACATGAAAACCAATAATATACAAAGACATGTTGTTATACCTTAATTCCTGTCACATTTGACGTCATACGAAGACGCGTGCGAGATCTTTTTATAGGTTCGTATTTATATTACTTTACTATGTTTAGTTCGTTGTTTACGATGAAGTGAGTCTAAATAGTTTTTTTTCTGTCAGAAAGCAAGACATTGTTATCACTAGTCTTTTGTGATGAGCCGTAACAGAGACGCCCAACCGCCGTGGATGTACATACAGAGTTGGAAGAGTTTCCAGAAAACTTGTTTCGCATAAACGAATTAAGCTTATATTACACTTTAACCAAAGATTCGAGGATTTTTTTTTCAGAAAGTATTACAGAATAATATAAGGTTAAAAGCTGGGTCAACTTAAACAGCAAAATTTTTATCCTTAGTCCTGGATCCGTTTACGAGTTTGTCAGGCTTCCTTCCGCAACTATTTCCGACAGTGTTCTTCGATAAAATTCCTAGTGGGCAAACTAATTAAATAACCAGGTTTAATGCGGATTTGATAGAAATGATAAATGCATTCTATGCTAAATCGACAAGTAACAGTTCAATTTTGATAGTTTGAAGCCCTTTAAGGGACACGGTAACCCGTATGTGGTCTCCTATTAAAGGGTAAATGATGAAGCGACCCGTATAATACCAGTCCCCTTGGGTGCTGGGAGCATCAATCTGCATTTTCCTATCTGTCCCAGCTTCACATTCTTTTGGAAATTAAACTAGAATGATTACATTAGGAATGATATAAATGGAATAACAATGATGAAGAAAAGGGAGGATGATGTTGAAAATTGATCAATCACAATTCTTCATGTTTTGTCAGTTTCGTTTGTGGAAGTTTATTTGAAATCGACATTATTTACGGGAGGTGAATCGACCGACAATTTCGAGTAGACGGTTAACTAGGCACACGTAATTAAAACCTGATAAATACTCCCCTAGATTATGTTTACACATACTTAAAGTCTTTATATGGTTGTTCATATGTGTTATACTGCTATACTGACATTGAGGTATGTTTTACCGATGAGTATCGACGACACTGTTGTGTGTTTTGTCTATGTGTATTGTCAGTGTTGTGTGTTTTGTCTTTGCGTTATGTCAGTGTTGTGTGTTTTGTCTATGTGTATTGTCAGTGTTGTGTGTTTTGTCTATGTATATTGTCAGTGTTGTGTGTTTTGTCTGTGAGTATTGTCAGTGTTGTGTGTTTTGTCAATGTGTAGCGATACTGTTGTATGTTTTGTCCATATATTGAAACAGTTGTGTGTTTTGTCTATGTGTATTGTCTGTGTTGTGTGTTTTGTCTATGTATATTGTCAGTGTTGTGTGTTTTGTCTGTGAGTATTGTCAGTGTTGTGTGTTTTGTCAATGTGTAGCGATACTGTTGTATGTTTTGTCCATATATTGAAACAGTTGTGTGTTTTGTCTATGTGTATTGTCTGTGTTGTGTGTTTTGTCTATGTGTATTGTCAGTGTTGTGTGTTTTGTCTGTGTGTATTGTCAGTGTTGTGTGCTTTGTCTATGTGTATTGTCAGTGTTGTGTGTTTTGTCTTTGTGTAATGTCAGTGTTGTGTGTTTTGTCTTTGCGTTATGTCAGTGTTGTGTGTTTTGTCTATGTGTATTGTCAGTGTTGTGTGTTTTGTCTATGTATATTGTCAGTGTTGTGTGTTTTGTCTGTGAGTATTGTCAGTGTTGTGTGTTTTGTCAATGTGTAGCGATACTGTTGTATGTTTTGTCCATATATTGAAACAGTTGTGTGTTTTGTCTATGTGTATTGTCTGTGTTGTGTGTTTTGTCTATGTGTATTGTCAGTGTTGTGTGTTTTGTCTGTGTGTATTGTCAGTGTTGTGTGCTTTGTCTATGTGTATTGTCAGTGTTGTGTGTTTTGTCTTGTGTAATGTCAGTGTTGTGTGTTTTGTCTTTGTGTTATGTCAGTGTTGTGTGTTTTGTCTATGTGTATTGTCAGTGTTGTGTGTTTTGTCTATGTATATTGTCAGTGTTGTGTGTTTTGTCTGTGAGTATT